AAAGCTATAGCTGTTGTTAAGGCAGCCAAGGAGTAGGAAGGAGTAGGGGAAGGTTGTTGACATGTGTTAAACACTAGCTGTGTATTAGACAGTCACATGTTCTTCCAAAAGAGTCTGAGAGTCAGGAGTTGCTCTCACTTCATAGATGAGGAAAAGTCAGAGAGGTTAAGTCAGCTTCATGAGGTTACAAAGCTTGTATGTCACAGACTGCTGTTGTTAAGGCAGCCAAGGAGTAGGAAGGAGTAGGGGAAGGTTGTTGACATGTGTTAAACACTAGCTGTGTATTAGACAGTCACATGTTCTTCCAAAAGAGTCTGAGAGTCAGGAGTTGCTCTCACTTCATAGATGAGGAAAAGTCAGAGAGGTTAAGTCAGCTTCATGAGGTTACAAAGCTTGTATGTCACAGACTGAAACCCAGGTTCCCTCACTTCCAGAGTAAGTGGTAGGCGGGTGCACAAACTCAAGCAGGAAGCGCATATGACACACCATTAGAGGGTCAATGAGGGGGTTGGGAGTTACCAAGCATTAGAAAATTCCTAGGTGTCTAGAACTACTATGCTTGTACAAATGCAGCGTGTTTTAACATTTTACAGGAAAACAAAACACAATCAAGGCATTTCAGCTCAACATTTGGACCTCAGGGGTTACCTTAAATGGTGGTCAAATGATATTATGGGAAAAAAATCTCTCTGTAGGCCAAAGACCAAACATCTGGTTCCCTTCTCCTCTAATTCTGAGCTGTGTGAGTTTGAATATGTTTCTTAACTTCTCTTGCCCTATGTAATTGATTGTAAAAAGATATCTTTCTGTAAAAAGCAGGAGGTGGTGTCTATGACCCCCAAGACACCTTTTAAAGTAAGATTTAGGAAATGACTGTAAGAAAAGTGTGTACATGAAGATCACCATGCAGTACCAAATCCCTGAGGGGAAAATTTTATTTCTTCATGGATAGCGATTTGGTTGGCTGTTATCTAGAGCATAAGTCAGTGTTCAACTATCTACTACTATTTTGCCACCATGCACATACACACACACCCCCATCATCATCACCACCACCACCACCACCCCACCACAATCTCTCCAAGAAAGACAGTAAATGCAGAAAGGACAGCATAGTCCAGCTGGGATGGCCACTGACCTTCCAAACACCGGATTCAACTGTTTGGGAATGTATTTGTCCCGGTCTTTGATTTCAGTTTTGCCAAGTCTGAGCACAATGTAGGGATCTGATTTGCCATCTGGATCGGCTGGGCTGAGATTAAATGCCTGGGGAGGAAAAAGGAAACCCTCTGACCTAGTGGCCTCACCTGGGCACTTTCATAAACAGATACCTGAGTTCTGTCTCCAGATAATGATCGAATGGGCTCTGGGGATTTAGGACTTTTAAAATTCCTGAAACTCTAGCGTTCAGCCAAAGTCAAGAACCACTGCTTTAGCATCCCTATCTTTCTATTAAAAGAAATATTATTAATGCTGCCTAAGTTCAACTTTCTCTAATGTCACCTCTCCAGAGGAAACCCTCTATTAGCAGAGAGTAATGAGAAACACACTGGATCAGGAGGCAGAAGACATGAGCTCAAGCTCTAGTTCAAAGTAGTTATGTGATCTTAGGTAAGTCATGTTGATTCTGGGATCTGTAAAATCATGAGGTGGACCTGAAGACTCCTTCCCAGCACCAGGGGTTTCTAAACCCATTACCCTATGAGTCTTGCATTTGACCATGGCCCGCTGAAAGATGATGTGCTTCTGATCATGAAGTCTGATTAAAATGATGATGTGTTTTTGATCATGAAGTCTGATTCCAGACTGACTGGCCCTAAGGCTATGGCTATCAGAAGTGAATATACTATAAGGAAAAGCCATGGTAGGGGGCCAGTAAAATATGGTATCAAAAAATAGAGAAATCCTGTGGTAAAGAAAGCTGAGAAACAATCTTCTATTCAAGACTGTATCCTGCAGATAAGACAGCGTAGGCATTTCAAACTATACATTTGAGAATGTTCACCAGTGTTGCTTAATAGAAAAATGGCAAGTCACACGCCAGAATAAAATACCAATTAGACACTCCTTTATCTCTCTTTGTTGTATCACGCATTTAAGTCTCTATAAAGTCACCTCTGGCACCCATCCTGTTACTTCTCTGTTCCTTTATTTTTATATTTCTTAGTCCTGATACCACGTCCAACTAGCATGTGATCTTCATGAGTGCTGTCATGTCATTCCTATAGCTCAAAGACACACAGCAGGGTCTTCTTAATGTTTGTTGTATGACTGAATGATAGTATGTTCATTCAAGAAAGCACTACATGGCTGTTAAAAAGAATGGAGACATGTACTGATCTGAAAATGTCTGGGGTATCTTACTAAGTAATGAAAAAATAATAAAGAACTTTCATTTCTTTCTTTATGAAATCTCTAGTTACTTTTAAAACTTTTTAGTGTTTGTAAAATTATTTTAAAATTGATTTATTATATAGTTGATCAACTTCATATTAATATACAATAGAAAATCATACACAGTAACCGCTACTACCAAGTCCTGTCCAAAGCACTGGCTCTCCATCCTACACTGCATTTCTTGCTACTGAAATCTAGGGCTGTCACGCTCTGTTACTATGTCCATTCAAGTCCCTCAAGGTACAACCCAAAGTGGCCCTCTTCCATGTTGTCCAGCCTTTGCTCCAGGCAGGAACCTGATCTTTGTCTAGAGAACCTTGGACACAGACAAGTGCAGTAGGTATTTGCTGAAGAGGGGAACAGGCCCTTCTCAAATGTCTGTAGCCTACTGAAAATGTCTTCCTCTCCTTCCACAAATCATAGTCTCCATTTCTGGATTCCCCAAACTGTGTCCCAAAGCACCTTGGTTCTGTGAGTCTTTCTGTTGGGCTAAGAGGTGAGAGCCAATGAGTTGAGAAAATGATGGGAAAGATTTAACAATTCAATAGATTTCTTTGCTTCTAGAATCTTCAGAGCTTTGAATATGTAGATGAGCTTTGTAAATCTCAGGAGTTGGAGAAGGGAAAAGAATTATTGGACACACTATTTCTCAAATTTACTTGAACACACACTCTGTTTCCTGAGGAATATAAATTAATTATCTCCCAGGAAACAGGTAACTTCCTGAATAAAAATTTGAAAAGACTAGTCTAAACCATCCTGTAGGTTCTGGGACCTATCTGTTTAATATAGGATACCCAGTATTGTCTGTGATTCTTTATAAGTACTTCCAACTAGATTTCTTTCCTTCGGACAAAGACTTCATCATGACATCCCTGGCATGTGATGATGGTGATGATACTTAGGAGGAAATCTATGCTAGAAGAATACTTTGTTCTCTCTTCACGTTAAGAAATGATTTGTTTAAATTTTATGCTTCATTTATGCTTCTTATAAAAGATGTACAAGGAAGCCTTGGATAAGACTAGTTATAATCAAACACAGTCATAAATTAAGCCCAAGGTCAACAGGTTAAAAACAACTTCATGAACCATAAGGACTTTTATAGTTGCTGTGATTGAAGGTTATTTTTGGCCCTGCCTTCCTGACAATCAGTCCAGAAAGTTTCATAATTAAAATTTTATGTTTCATTATCAGAAAAAAAGGAAGCCCTAGGCACATAATGTTTTTGTGTTTTAAAAAATTACTTTCAAAATGAAATTTCTGACTGCAGAAACACAGAACCAAAGCCACTGGGAGAATTTCAGAGGCTGCTGCCCTGTTCTGCCCTGCCTGCCCTGTTCTGCCCTGCCTGCCCTGTTCTGCCCTGCCTGCCCTGTTCTGCCCTGCCTGCTCTGTTTCGGACCAGCTCTTCCTCTCACTATCTTTCCTGTGAGCTTTCGTCCTCTATCCTTTTTGATTTCCTTTCTGCTAGTGGGAAACATTACAGAGCCAATAAAGCTACTCAAGGAAATCCTATATACTGGGAAGTATTTTCCTGAGTGAAAAGCCCAGAAATGTCCATGTTCCTGAACAAACTCCGTGCCCTGTAACGGACTGACCTGGGAGCCTCCTAAATGCATTTGTCGAGGTCTAACTATATTGAACATATGGCTATAGGCTGGTGACCAAGGTTAAATGATGTCACAAGGGCAGGGCTATATATTCAAGAAGTTTCTCTTTCTCTTCTCAAAATCATATGCACAGAAGAAAGGTCATGTGAGGACACAATAGACAAACAGTCATCTACAGTCTATCAAGAGAGGCCCCACCAGAGACCAGCCCTGGCAGGACCTCGATCAGGGACTTATCCACCCACAACTGAGAACTAAAGTCCTCTTTAAACCCAATCTGTGGTATTATTACAGCAGCCTGAGCAGACTATCCACCCACTCAGCCCAAAGAAGGCTGGCTTACCGCAACAATGTATACTCTGATCAGTACTTGGATGGGGTGGTTGGGTGGAATCCCTTGCTGGATTCTCAACTGCCCACTATCCTCTGAGGCAGAATCCTCTGGGCTTTTGTAGATGCAGAAGGAACCCTAAAACCACATAAGACAACTCATTGAAATAAGATGGTCACATGACCTATGAAAACCCACAGAAAGCCCAGTGGTGGGAAAATGAACACAACTTGGGTGTCTGCAGGACACGGGCTGTTGCTACACTGTCAGATGGGTATCCTTGGGCAGTTTACATAAACTGCTTGCAAAGGCAGTTTATGATGCACTGGTGGATAGGGGTCAGTATGTTAACATCCTCATCACAGGACCACTGCGTGAGGAACATGACAGATGGCCTTGAACTCACAGAGATTCTCCTGCCTCTGCCTCCTGGGTGCTGGGATTAAAGGCGTGCACCACCATGCCCAGCTGGTTTGAATTTTTTGATTTAACTTAGTTGGGCAACTGGCAAGTCTATGTAGATTATGTATATTAGGTTTGGGATGACAAAGCGAAGTGCAGTGGTCTTTATAGGTAGTGAGTATATTTTCTTATATTCCATAGACTGAGTTTGGCCTGCTGATCACAAACCAAAAGTATCTCCAAACATTTGGGCTGGGTCTCGTGGAATTCCAGAGGATCTAAGTAGATATTAAGAATTTCTCCCACATATATACCATATCACAATCCCATTACTAGAACTGAGTCATAATATATTTATGAACAGAGTCAAATAATGGGGTTTACATGGGAACCTGCCTTAAACTTTCCTATGACTCGGTCTCCATCTAGACCATGATCATCTTCTGTAGATTTGCCTCTGAAGAGCTCAAAGGTCTTCACCCAGTCTTCAAAATTGTTGAATTCACTCTCAAGATCACCATCATATATCTTTAGAGAAAAGGAAGAAGATTGTACCAAGAGGAAGGAAGGTTAATTACTCTATCACCTTTAAATATATCCTCATTCAAAGTCCGAAAACACAGGCAAAATGTAGACAAATTCTTCACCAGAATGTACTGTGAATACGGGTTCCCAATAGAGTCCCATTTCCCACTTGAAACCTCATGAGCACAGCCTTTATGGACTATATTTCCATCAGCATTCTGGTCTTCTGAGTTTCCATCCATATCACTTTTTTCTCTCTCCTCTCATTAGCCATGAAGTGAGTATCTCTTCTCCACTAATGCTCCTTCTACCATGGCATTTTGTTCAAGTACAAGGGTCAAGTGGTCATAGACTGCATTCTGAAGCCATGAGCCCAAATAATCTCTTCCCTTAACTTGTTCTCTTGGGTGTTTTGATCACAGCTGTGCAAAAGTAACTAATAAGGAAGGCTTAGTGTTGATTTAATGAGAAATGCCAAGATTCTCCAAAATTGGCCTTGAAAAGTGCTCCCTAGAAAATGTCAGAGCTACTGTTGATTTAGCTTTCATAAGACAAGGAATGTGGTTGAGTGAGCATTCCTAAAGCTAACCATTCTGAATTTTATAAAACCTTTTGGATAAAGATTTAAATTCTAGGAAGTATAGCCAACTCAAAATATTTTTTAAATATTTTACTTATTGTTTTTATTTTATGTGTATGAGTATATTGCCTGCATATATGTAAGTGCACCCATGTTGTGCAGTTCCCAGGGGGGTCAGAAGAGGGTGTTGGGTCTCCTGGAACTGGAGTTATAGGTGGTTCTTAGTTGCCATGTGGGTGCCAGGAATTGAACCTGGGTCCTCTGCAAGAGCAACCAGTGCTTTTAACCTCTGAGCCAGCTCTCCAGCCCCAACTCAAAATATTTTTAAAGATTTACTTATTTTTATTTTAGGCATATGAGTATTTTGCCTACATGTACGTATGTGAATGATGTGTGTGCTTGGTGCCAGAAGAGGCCAGAACAGAGTGTCAGATCCCCTGGTTGTGAGCCATCATGTAAGTGCTGAGAACTGAACCCAGGTCCTCTGTAAGAGTAGCAAGTGCTCTTAACTACTGAGCTATCTCTTTAGTCTCCAAAACATTTTTAAATATATAGATAACAAATATGAAAAACTTTCTTATGCTTAACTAATGTTATTGCTGTTTAATATAGATTATAGTACTTTGGGGGGAATTCATATTACTAATGCTCATTATTATTATTATTATTATTATTAATATTATTGGTCTTTTTGAGACAGGGTCTCCCTGTAGCCCCAGCTGACCTGGAACTCACTATGTAGACCAGGCAGGCCTGGAACTCATAGGCCTGCCTCTGCCTCCCAAGTGCTGGGATTAAAGGTGTGTGCCACCACACCCGGCCCATTTCTTAACACATTTAAAGTGATGGAATATTTGTTTCTATTATAATGTACAGACATGAATTTTCTAAGTGGAAAATGATATGCACATGTTAGAAATGCAAAGTAAAATTGAATTTGAGGTTTAGCAATATAATTAAATTACTTATTCAATATCCTCTCAAAATTACTTACCCAACTTGATAATTTACATATGTAGTCTTTGTACTCTAAATTTTCATGTCCATAAATATGCCTCTAGCTAATGCCCTCTCGCCAATGTTAAGATTGCTTTGATGGAACTGACTTTAGGTGGAATTAAAACTCCTGCTATTTTGAGTGTATACATATCCACATGATGCCAAGCTTCAAGAGGAGTCAAGGGGAACTCTGGCACTATAAATTACCTCCCAGGCCAAAGCTAAACATCATTCTTAATATAGGGCTACAGAAAATGGAAAATGAACAAGCTCTATTGTCTTGGTTTACATGCTTGTTAAACATGATCTCTCCAAATTAGTGATTATAATGCAGATAATGAAAGTTAATTCAAAGAAAGGAATTACTACAGTTGACCAAAGTACTAAGGAAGTGAACTGTTAAGCTCTACACCCCACCCATGGAGGAGAATCCTGGGCCCACATACCTTCAGGACAGCCAGGTTTGGGATCTCATCATTCCCCTCATCTTTGAGTTTCCTCTTGAGCATTCTGTCTTTCTTCTTTTTGGGGCCATCTTCTATATCTAACACGACCTCATCTGGCTTTGCTTCTGTGGATATTCAGCAGAAATTTTAATAGATTTTTTGGTGGCAGTTCAAATGAGAAGGAATAAGGCAAAAATCCTTTTCTTTAACTCTGGTATGTGCCATGTGTTGTGACTTCCTTTTTGAAAAGAAATAGTAGATCTGGAGAGACAGTTCAGTTGGCAAAGTGCTTGCCTTGCAAGCATGACGATCTGAGTTCCATCTCCAGAACGCATATGAAAAAGTAAAAAAAAATGGTGGCATATACTTCTTGTAATCCCAGCACTGTGGAGGCAGAGACACATAGATCCCTGGGGCTCATTGGTCAGCTGGCCTAGCCTATTTGGCAAGTTCCAGGACAGGTGGACATTGCTTGAGGAATGACATCTGATATTGTTCTCTGGCCTCCATATGCATACATGTACATGCATACATGCACACACACACACAAATAATGATTTTTTTTACTGCAAGATTGATGCATGCAGCTCTATAGTCAGCATCACATATAAATGCAGTATTTGTGGATGCCCTGGAGTCAGGGAAAGTGTTGGCTGGACCAGTCTGCACGAACTCATTAAACTAGGCACAGAGAGGGTATATTATTTGCTTGTTCACCCAGTTAACAGAGAAAGACCCTGGATTTGAATGGATTCTAAAGCTTTTAGTTACCTTTCCTCTCAAATGTCCTCAGGGACTTGACTCATCTGATTCATCATGAGGCTTAAATATGTTAAGGGTCTTGCTCAAGGTCATGTTAATAGCATTACTTAATAAATTCTTTTAGCAGCATTCCCTGAAGAAAATGCCTGGAGATAGACTTTTAGATCTGCTGTTTCTAGCTGCATAACCTTGGACAAGTTCCTTGACCTCTTTGCACCCCTCCTTCATCGTGTGTAAAATGAAGATGCTGTTGTCTAGGCTGTGGGTCTGGTCACAGGAGAAATGTGAAATGAATTGTGCTAATGAGTAGTCTGAGAAACTAGGGACCTGGCTCTCAGTTGTGTGTGTGTGTGTGTGTGTGTGTGTGTGTGTGTGTGTGTGTGTGTGCATGACATCTGACACAGTCTTGGCTTCCTGGTGTTGTTTCTGAATTTAGGCTGTGTCATATCTATGTCTTGTAGTGTGTGTGTGTGTGTGTGTGTGTGTGTGTGTGTGTGTGTGTCCATGCCATCTGAAACAGTCTTGGCTTCCTGGTGTTGCTTCTGAATTTAGGCTGTGTCCTACCTATGACTTGAATTGAGTTTGTGGTCATTTTAAATCTCAAGTTTCTTTCACTGGGCTTCTGCCAAACCAGATCTACCCAATCCTTGTAAACTAAGTTCTGGAACCTGAATTCAGATCTTTGCACTCACAAGTGTTGACATTTATCTTGTTGGTTTTGTCTTGGGCTTCCAGTTTGCTCCTATTTTTACTCTGCTGTTTCTACATGGAGACTGTGGACATAGGGCATGAGCCAGTCAATTCCAGAAATGAACTGGAATCAGAGATCTGAATACCTACTTACCTGTGTCTTTCTTCTCCTTGGAGCTGCTCTCCTTTGTCTTAAAAAAGAAGAAAACAGGATTATTGACATTTCTGTGCCTTACTTATTAAGCCAGAGTGCTAATGGATTTAATTGATTATCCCAACTCTGCATTCCCAGAGATGTCACTTTAAGAATATTCAGACAGGCCCCCAGAGGTCTTTAGCACAAAGCCTCACTGTGAAGACTTGGCTCCAAACTGCAGGGAGGATGTGCTGTGCTATAGAAGAGGCACCTGCACACCCAAGAAAAGGGCCACCATTGTCCTCCAGGATCCTCTCAGTGACAGGGAAGACAATCTTCTCCCATTTGACACATTCCTGGAGCATCTCACCAGTCTACAGTATGATCTTTACATGCTGGCATTCTGGACCATTGGGTAGGTACCAGGAATTAGGAAGGGTAGTAGAGAAATGGCAAAGGGCTAATCATTCACAGAAAGTGGTAGCATCCATCATAGCTAAAGGATGGAGGTTGGAGATAGGGGCTATTGTTTGATTTGTTAATTAACTGTGTCTCAATATTTTTGAGTAGTCCTAGATGAAACTGTAGTCTTTCTAAGCTACAGAATCAGATAGTCTTTATTCAACTAATCATGATAACTCGTGACTAATTTTCCTCTCTCTTTTACTTGGGGTTGAGAAATCTTATTAAATTGGTCTTTTACAATTTCCAGACCCACTTCCCATGACTCCAGGATTCTGGCTATTGAATGTATGTGAAGCCCTACTGTTGCTCTGGCAACCCACGGTTATTTCCATTTGTTAAGCCAAGATCTTCCTTGACTTTGATCATTTCCCTTACAAACAGAATTCTGTGGAAGACCTGAGGCCCCATGACTTGGGTCTCTCCAGGTAGACCTGAAGCCCTATTTGAAATGTTACTTCTCCTTGCTGACCTCCCTAGGTTCCACAGGGGTCAGATCCTCCATATACCACATGAGATTGAATATCCTTCTAGTATTTACCACAGAGCTTGTGTCCTATACCAGGTCTGGTCAGAGGGTGTGGATTCTGTAATTCGGGATCCTTGGTCTCCTAGGCTTTTAACCTTTCGTCAGTTAACAGAACCATGCTTCAGTAAGGGTTATGCATACTGAAATGTAAAGGGAGGTATGGGCTTTGGGGAGTGAAAAGTGCTGTGTGTTCTTCCTGAGTCCTTGGCTGTCACAGGCAGGGGAGACCCTACCTTCTGAGCCTTCTTCAGGGAGGCATAATACTTAGACCACCAGTCGATGACATTTTCAGCAGATTCATCTGCTATGGTCCTCTTTCTCCTTTTGGTGGATTTCCGGGAAGGTTTTCTGGGATCCGGCTAAGGGAAGAAAAATAGGTTATTAGCTGGGCCTCAGTTTGTTGTATGCTGGAAGCCAAAATGGTTAACCTGAGAACATACGGACGACTACTGTGAAGTGGACAGTGGTATCCGTTGGTACTGTGATAGCAATTCTCAGTATCACTTCAATAAATGAAAGTTTAATAGTCCATTTATCCAGCTATTAATTGACTCAGCAAACATTTATAAGATGTTCTATAGTCTGCCTGACTTCAGGGATGCAGGGGTTCAACAAACCTACATTCAGAAAGCCTGGCATTCAGTAGAAGAGATAGGCATGCAACAAATGGATACCAGGTCGTGTGATATAATGCCATAAAACAGAAAGGACATTGGTTACAGACAGACCTGGTTAACAATCATTAAGTAATTAATATGAATTTTGTGATTCTCAGTTTCTTTGGTGAAGGACAATAACACTAGCCTAACTTCACTGTGGTAAAATTTTACTGACATAAAGTAGGAAATTCAACTTTAGCTTTGTTTCTAACTTTAAAATGTACAAATAAGTGACATTTAAAACATAAGTGGTCGACCATGGCTGGCTTTGCTTGGAAGCACGGAGGAAATGTTTCCTCTGTGTTGACCCTCCTCTTTGTAGACTGGACACTGGTTCAAATCCATCTGGTGGGGTCTCCACGGCCTCTAACAACACAGTGGGCAGTTACAGGGATGACAGAGTATATGGGCTCCAGTGGGTTGGGGAGGCTATGGGAGGGTGCCATTTGGGAAGTGGGTATGTAGATGAATAAGTTTGGGATGTTCTGTATGATACACACACAAAAAAATCAACAGATAAAAAAAGACTTATATTTGAAAAAAAACCCGTAAGTGGTGAGGTGGTAGGAGAGATTTAGTTATATGTAATAGCTGACATAAATGTACATTTCAGGAGGCATTTGTCACACTGGAGGTTGTCTAAATAAGACTCTGCTTGCACCTATCAGCCCTTTTCTTTCCAAAATCTCTGCTGTATCTACTGTGTGCCAAGTACTCCAGCAAGGGCAGGAAATACAAAGATGTAATGTCAATAAATGATATCCAACTTGGCTTAACAGTTTTCAGGTATCAACAAACCTGAAAACTGAGACTGCCCACATAAATGTCAGGTGCAAAGTTGGGACACTAGTGAGACACTGGTGAGGGGTTACTGAGGTCACCAAGGAAGGGTGTGATGGGGAAAGCCTGAGCAATCATCCACCATCCTGTCACACTCTTCTTTTGGATTCCAGGTTTTTTTATTTAATAACCACATGATTAGAAGAAGCATTTCATTACAGCTTTAACATATTCAATAACAATTTCCAGAGTAAGGATTGTGTCTTTCAAAAGTGGCTATAAGTTTTTAGGTTCACAGTTGAATTAATATAGTTATAGAATATTGAACTCAGTATAGACCCTGTGAGACATAAAATTGAATGAGTTTTTAACCTTTAAGAAAGATCTCTATTTCATTTTAAAATATGCTGTTTCCTACAGAAAGACTCATTTTTAATGTTACTAACACTTAGATGTTTGCACCTGCCTCTAATCTCTACTTATCTGATTATTACTAGTCGCAGTCAGTTACATTCAGATCCTTGGCACCTGAGTATGGATGTAAATGTGGTTGCCTGCTGTGGCTGCTCTCCTCCGGCTATGGCCACTCTCCTGCTCTCTTATTTCCTCTGATCAGTCATCTGGTCTGGAACCCAGAGCTGGTGAGGAGTCTGCACCAACTTCACCACATTCAGACGGAGGAGACCAGGTCCAGTGACACAGATCTGTTTTATTGCAGGAAAGTACAGGCTTACATAGGGGTAATCCCATATACTCTGTCATCCCTGTTACTGTCCACTGTGTTGTTGGCACCCCCCAGCCATTCCCCAGTGCTTGTCCATCTGCTGAATCTATTTGGCCTATCTAGAGATCCTTGTTTTAGGAAGATCAGCTGTTCCTCATCTAGCAGCAATCAGATTGGGGTCTGCTGTCCATTTTCCCAGTTCTATGCTGGGTTACTGTCTGGGAGTCTTTTGGTCCACACTGGCCAATAACTCAAAGGAAGGTATCACCTATCTGGCATTGTTTCTTGTTATATAGCCTTTAGATATATATATATATGGACTCTTAAAAAATTATATTGACCCCTTTAACCTTTGATTAAATTTTCCTATTGAATGTTTAAGACCCCCACAATTGGCCCAGATAAACAAATTTATTTTTACTTTTAAGGTTGTTTGAGAATGTGTTCCTCATGGGCTTGGGTCACATGGACTTGGGAGGAGCCCCTGGGTCCTTTCTTTTACCAGTTCCATCTATCTGAAGATAAGACAAAGGTCCTGCTTGACCATGACTGGCTTCACTTGGAAGCATGAAGGAAATGTTTCCTCTGTGTTGACCCTACTCTTTGTAGACTGGACACTGGTTCAAGTCCATCTGGTGGGGTCTCCACTTGTCAGCTAAGGGACGCTTAGGTTGCTTTCATCTCTTAGCTATTGTGAAAAGAGCAGCAACAAACATGGATGTACAAGTGTCTCTGCAATGGGATGAGTTCTTTAGGTATATGCCGGGGAATGGTATAACTGGGTCAAATGGTAGGTTTATTTGTAGTTTTTTAAGAGTTCTCCATACTGCTTTCATAGGAGTTGAACAAGTTTGCAGTCCCACCAGCAGTGGATGAGAGTTCCCTTTCCCCACATCCTCTCCAACATTTGGTATCATTTGTTCTCTTGATCGTAGCCAGTGTGACTGGGGTAAGATGAAATCA